GGGGGACCAGACTTTGGAAGGGGGATGACCAGATGCAAAGGGCGTACCGTAGAAGGTGGACAAAAGCCGGGACTTAAGCCGCCCGAGGGAGTGACACACCCGGAAGCCCGGCTCATCGTCGCCAGTGTCCTGCTGCAGCGACCACAGCGGCGACACCGACACCAGCGAGCCGACCACCGCCACAATGGAGGAGGCCGCCACGGTCCGGCGCTGCTGGGCATTCGGCAGCAAGGACGAACGGGAAGACTTGACGTCGGCCGGGGGGGGAGATCCCGGGGCCGAGGTCAGCGCCCCGGTCGGATGGAAGGGAACCGAGGAGAAGGCCTCGATGAGCGGGCCCAGGGTGGCCTCCAGGAGCCACCGCGACGAGTTGGCTATGGTTCACATTCGGCGTGAGTGTCATTGGCGAGGGAAGGATCATGGCGGCGGCGGCGGCGGCGGCGGCGGCGGCGGCGGCGGTGGCAGGTGGGAGAATGCGGGACACCCGAAAGGGGCCGGTCGAAAGGAGGGGCACGTACGGCTTCCCTGTGCCAGGGCGGCGATGATGCGGCCAACCGAGTCGACCTTCTTCTCGGCTGAATGCGAAGAGAGCCAGGAGGTCAGACAAGAGAGGACACAGGACAACGGGCAGGGAGCGTGGGAGAAGGAAAGAAACAGGGGAAAAGACCGGAGCAAGAGCAAAAGCAAAGGCTCACACAAACCACCTACCCTGTAGGCTTGACAGACACTCGGCCAGGACCGGCTCAATGAAGGACTCCACAAAGCCAAGGCGCTGACGGGACCCGCCGCGTGAGGGGGCCCGGGCCGCGGTGCGGACCACCTCGGACAGGGCATGCGACGCGGCCCGACGCTCGGCCGCGTCCTCCTTCTCCAGGCGCGAGACGGTTGCCGCCCCGGCCGGCAGGGCATCCCCATGCTCCATGGCCACATCGTCCAGCAGGTGCCCCATCAGGGCATCGCGCAGCTCGGCCAGCGCGCCAAAGGCAATGGGAGCCGACGCCGGGAGCGGACCCCCGGCCGAGGACGCCGCATTGATCCCGGAGCCTGGGCTTCCCGGGCCCAGCAGCCCGGCCCGCAGGCAGGCACAGGTGTCGGGATTGCAGCCGCAGGTGCCGGGGCTGCCGACACCCGAGGCACCGGTGCCGGAACCGCTGCGACCCTCGTCCATCATGTCGGTGCTGGCATGGAGCGAGCCGACGCTGTCCGGGGCAAAGCGCCCGAAAGCCGGCAGCGTGCCCCAATTCCAGGCACCGCACACCCGAGCCACGCAATCCAGCACACAGAGGCGGACCTCGGCCACGGCGATGGTTGACCCGACCCCGGCGCCGCCGATGCCGCCGAGATCGGCGATCTTCTCGGTCAGCAGCTCGACCAAAGCCAGCAGGACGTCCGGGGCGCCATGGCGCGCGGCCGCCACAAAGACGGCCGTCAGTTGCTGGCGCAGGGCCGCCACGTCGATGGCCACGGCGCCGGCCCCAGGCCCGGAGGGGGCTGTGAAGGAAATCGGGAAGTAGACACTGATGACATCGAAGAGCTCGCCGGCGAGGGCCTCGGCCACGGCCGGAGACCGGCGCTGGGGGCCAGTCCCCTCGGCAGGGGACCGCGCCAGGGCCAATGGAGCCGGCAGCCCGAGGAACACGCGTTCGGCCAGGGCAAAGCACACGGCCAGGCACCGGGGATCGCGCTCGCCCTTCATCGACCGAACAAAGGTATCGGCCAGGTCGACGCCATGATTGAAGAAGTCTTCGTGAAGGGAGGATGTAAGTGGACCTGGCCTCAGAGCGCCCAGGCGTGGCGGCGGGCGACAAAGCGGCAGGATGACGAAGCGGCCAGGCAAGACCAATCACGCACAGGCGTCATGGCGGTAGAAGAGCCGCGCGAGCAGGGCATAGGCGAAACGTCGCGTGCGCATGGGGAACTGACTCATCGGCAGCGAGGCAAGCATGCTTCCAGCAGGGGGAGGGGGGAGGGGGAAACAGACAGGGTCAGCAGAACAAAAGACGCATGCGGGGACATGACGAACGAGGGGGAAGGGGGAGGGGGAGGGGAAGAGGAAGGGGGAGGGGGAGGGGAAGGGAAGGGAGGGACAGAGTAGATACAGACACAGAGACAGACACAGAGACAGACACAGAGACAGACACAGAGACAGACACAGAGACAGACACAAAGCAAGGGGAAGAACAAGAGAAGAGGAGACATACCCGGGGACGTGCTCAAGAAGCGGCGCCGGGAAACCGGGGAACTGGTCCACCAGGACCATGAGCCCGGCAAAGAAGCTCCCGGCGAAGATGGGCGCAAACGTCGAGGCCAGCAGCGCAAAGGAGAGCCCCTGGCGGAAGAGGAAGATCAACGAGGCAACTGGAGCCGGGATTGCAACAGACACGTCAGCAGGCCGATGGGCGGACACAGCCGAAATGCTCCATGGGCCGAAGGAAGGAGGGGCAAGGAAACACGGCACGCACATTGCTCCTCGGACACGCGCTCGATGCCCGGAAGCAGACGCCCGGTGGTGAAGACTCCCGCGCCGGACCCAGCCGCCGGGAGGTTGTCCTCCACAAGGAGGATGAACACCCGTGAGAGGGTTTCAAAAGTGAGCACCAGAGGCTCGATCAGGAGGCGGAGCTCCGGCGAGTCGTGTGCCATGTGGAAGATGCTGCTCGGAGGGAGGCAGCTCGGACGCGCGACGTCCAGGAAGCCGGCCAGGGCGCCGGAGAAATCCACGCGGAAATCTGAACGGAGTCTTAGTCGGCGACCGGTGGGAGGGGGGAATGGGGAAGCCCCTGGGGCGAGGCGATCTGGCTCGAGAAGGGAGAGGGGGAAGGAAACCGAGGGACAACGCACGGTCGGCCAGCCGGTGAACAATGGCCTGGAAGCCCGGTGCCGAATCAAGCGCCTGTGGGGCAACAGCGCAGCTTGGGCCGAACTCGAGCGCCGCAGCATAGAGCTCGGCCAGCCCGGGGCCGGGGGGAGCATGCTGCTCAGCCATCCTCTGGTGCCTGGGTCAAAGAGCGGGCAATGGGAGGCAGCCGGCGGGGGG